AAATCCCACTGAGGTTTATGTAAAACCTTTTTCTTGTATAGATTGTTTAAGATCAGACGGTTGGCGTTGAGGTCAGCTGCGAGGTTTGCAGGAGGATGAAAACCATCAAACACGTTCCTCAGAACTGTCGTTCCACCATCAATTAGAAGTCTGCTCAGCTTGGCTCCATTTGTCTTCTCTACAGAGCTGGCCAAGGGTGAAGGTGCAGCAGCTGCCATCGTAATCCAAAGTACACTTCAGACAGATTTACATGAATCTCCATACAGTACCTGTGTGTGATATGACAAGCGGTTCATTTTCGATTATTTATCATTGTTTAACTTTGCCATCACAGGGGGCGACAGTGGGGTTTGATGTAACAAATACTGTGTGCTATGATCTTTGACCAAAACAAATGCCATAAATCATGCATCTACTATATAACCCTCCCTCTCAAATAGGTGACAGCCAACACCCCCCTTTATAGAGCAAGAAATATATCACGTTCATTCCCTTATTAAAGTCCCCGCCAACCAAACCAAACAACCAAGACAATAAATTTCATACTGTATTACCTGTGCATTTTTTACCGAGGCCACCCAGGCACGAATTCATACACAGTAAGAATCATTTATCAAGTACGCTATACTAAGCCCTACCCATCACAATAATGTACTTGAAATATATAGACCCCATATTTCCTGGAAAGAGAGTGGGGTAGGGACGTTATGATGGATAAACAGTAAATATGAATTCAAACAAGTTCAGTGATATATTATCCTTCAGTATCTCAACTCACAGTCTTTTGAGGGTGTGACATTCGTTCAGGGCTGAATGAACACAATTCTTTCTTTGTTGTTTCAAGTCAATTCACGCCATCTTTTAATTGTGCTGGGTGGCCCTTTCAACACTAGGCTGGTGTCAATAGGGGTCCAGTAAAATATTTATAACAGGTGACTTTTAGGAAATAACAAGCCTCTCGACATCAAAATATAACATTTAAATAATAAAAATAACCTAATAAATATATGTAATACAATAACTTGAACACCAAATGGGCCAGACCCACCACAACATGGACGAGGATAGCAGAGAGGGAGAAGGAAAGAGTAGGGGTGTGGTGTGCACCACAGCAGCTGACAAAGCTGGTTGGCTGTAGGGTGTACAGACCTTATTTGCCACTATGGCATGAAGGGATACCTTGATACTCCAAAAGAAAATTACTCTTACTCAGATTTACTGTAAAATAATAAAAAAGTTAAGTTTTTTGTCAACTGTACATGTAACTTACCATCTTCCCCAAGAAATTTCATTGTGAGTACTTTAGTGTCACTCTCTGCATCTGCTGAAGAAGAAATATTACCTGATTAGAAGATAATCAATAAATAATCAATAACTTATCTATTTTTTAAAAAAAAGTTAAAAAAACAATTTACCAACAGCAATTCAAATAAATATCCATTGCAAACAATCCAGCAACAGCTTGCTATAACATCCCCACCCCCCAGCCCCACCCCCATCCCCACCCACAGCCCCAACCCCACCCCTTAATTAACACTGCCAAAACTTTAGTCTCACAGTGCCATAAAAAGAAATGATAGAGATTTGGAGGATATACATACAACAAAATATGATCAAATTAAACACAAAGATTTTCACCAATCATGTCACAATACATGGGTGACAGAATGACAGCTATCTTTTCCACCTGGTTTTCATTGCCAAGAAACTCCTATCATACTTACCATATAAGCAATAATCATAATGACAAAATATTTTATAAGGCTCGAAGTGTTTAAAAAGGACTAAAAAAGTAAAAACCAAACGTCTTTGACATAATGTCCTCTTCATCCTAAAGCTGACAATATGTTGAAAACATATTAAATTCTGACTGCATTTTAAGCTATTTTTTAAATGCTACCATGATCAAATTTTCATTGATTGAAATTTTTGGTGTATCACATAGAATTCCAAGAAAGATTTAAAACACTGTTTACCATTTGAAAATATCTGCATTTGGTCTGCAGATATTTCAGTTTGAAAAATGTGTAAAATATGAAGATGAGAGGACCGATCTGATGTCATACACTCAGCCCAATATTAAATCAAGTTTAGTATAATTTCCAGAGGTGAATGTAAGAATTGGACATTCTGACTGGTGGAAAAGCTTGGCTTATGATGGCATATTCACCACGCTAGGTGGTAAAGATAACATTTCTGAGTTTGGTTATCAAGCTCACCATCTTTGCCATCATGCAAAGTAAACATGGTGGACAGATGGTGAATGAAATTTTCATTTATTCTAAAGGCATCACTCCAAGTCTAGGATATTTGAAAGGATGGTCAAGAGAATTTTCAAAATGACTGATGTTGCCCTTGGACCAAAATTTTTTCAAGAACTAATATTCAAGGCATTTCAGAAGTGCAAATGCAGTGGTTATGTTGATCACCAGCAGGTCAGATCAATTGAGCAGAATTTATTTCTCTTCAAACTATAGCTACTCATTTTTAGACGATGAGGACAACTGTGAATGAAAGGAACAACAATAAAACAAAGGCACCAGATGAATTTTTTTTTCGTAGTGTTTCGCTTGTTTGTTTTACTGCTGAACTCGATGTGTAAATTTGATTCACAATCGATGTAAATGGAAGCTTATTATTAAAACTACAAGACAACAAACCTACCTGTATGGCTATAAAAGAATTCTGTTCCCATGGCAGTTCACTCTTTTCCAGTCCCCTCCAACCTGATTTCAATAATAATATTAGTGGTTTTCAGCTGGAAAAACATTAAGCAAGGCCATGAGTTTGACTTTAAGCGAATCATGCAGATGAGGCACCAAATTGTTGACAAATATCAAAATAAAATACCAAAGGTGGCAAGAAAAGCCTTCACTATTGCGGAGATCTGGAACCCATTATGTTGCCATGGTAACAACATTCTGGAATGAAAAGAGATATTTAAAAATAGTAAACAGCATTTTTCTTCTCGTACAGTCTGCTTGTTTATGTTTCAAAATAGCTTAGATAGGATAAGGTGCAAATTTCATTATTAATAGTAGTAAGCACTAATAAATAATTTATTTAGCCTTGAAAAATATTTTGTCTCATTATTATGGCTAGCTCTGTGAGCGGGCAAGATGGAGCTATCTTGCCCGCTTGGGACTACCTGCCATGTCCTGCAAGAAAAATTTCCCCAAAAGCCATGTAATAAATACTTTATTGAACAAGCTTATTCGGTCAAGATGGCTGGATATTGGCCTCATTCTTTTTTTGCATGTTTATGAACCTTGACTCCGTCTCGGTCCATAAACACGCAAAAAAAGAACTTGGCCAATATCCAGCCATCTTGACCTCACACTTGGTCAATAACGCATATATAATAACAAGCACATTTTATGGATAATAATTGTTAGTAATGATAATGGTATGCACTGATTTTGAACAAGAATGATGATTTATTCCTTAGTAATCTTCTCACAGTCACTGACATTGTGTAGATTGCCGAAAATCAGATGATTGGCCAGCCATTTAAAAAAATAAAGTACATTTCAATGAGTAATTCATGTAAAAGGTTTACTGCAAACAAGGAATGGTGTATGAATGAGCCACTCCAACATCATATAATTGGACAGACCCTGCCAAATTTCTGTTGCTTGTCACACTAAAATGACATTGCCCAGCTACATTGTAAAATGATTTACTGTCACTCTCATTCTGCTGTTCATGTAATTCATTAATTCATCAGTTGGGTTCTGCACATGATTTGTGTTGCATTTAGACTGGTTCATGACAGTTTGCATTGTATTACTCCAGAAAATATGCACCCCTCCCTAAAAAGGGATTTTTTGTAAGACCCCCCCCCCCCCCCCCCCCCCCCCCCCCCCCCCCCCCCCCCCCCCCCCCCCC